TCACACCTATCAGATTGGCCAACATGACAAAACAGGAAAATGAGAAATGTTGGAGAAGATGTGGGAAAATTGGAACATTAATACATTGTTGGTGGAGTTGTGAAATGATCCAACCATTCTGGAGAACAATTTGGAACTATGCCCAAAGAGCTACAAAAATGTGCATACCCTTTGATCCAGCAATAGCACTTCTAGGGCTATATCCCAAAGAGATCAAACAAATGGGAAAAGGACCCACATGTGCAAAAGTAATTATAGCAGCTCTTTTTGTGGTGGCAAAGAATTGGAAATTGAGAGGATGCTCATTCATTGGGGAATGGCTGAGCAAGTTGTGGTATATGAATGTAATGGAATACCATTGTGCTATAAGAAATGATGAACAGGCTGACTTCAGAAAAACCTGGAAAGACTTATATGGTCTGATGCTGAGTGAAGTGAGCAGAACCAAAGGACTTTGTACACAATAACAGGCATATTATGCAATGACTAAGATTGTTAAACTGAACCTTTCTCAGCATTACGAGGATCTAAGACATCTCCAGAGGCCTCGGGATGGAAAATGCTGTCCACATCCAAAGAAAGAACTATGGAAGTTGAATCGCTATCACTTATTTTTACCTTCTGTTCAGTTTTGTTTCATCTTTCTGATGGTTCCTCCTATTGGTTTTAATTTTTACTTAAAACTTCACTAATGTGAAAATATGTTTAATGGGTATGTAAATGTAAAACCTATATCAGATTGTGCGCCGTCTTGGGGAGGGTGGGGAGGAGGAAGGGGGAGAAAAATTTTCAACTTAAAAACATATGGAAGTGATTGCTGATAAATCAAAATAAATTAATAAAATTTAAAAAAAGAACCAAATGAGATAACTGTAAACTCTAAGGTACCGTGTAAATATAAGCTTTTATTATCTATATATATTTATCACATACAACAACTGTCATAGCCAAATTTGGTTAAGATTGACTACTAAGGCTCTATATTACTAACATTTCATATGATATAATGCAACAGAACCTACTGACCCATTGGTCCTACTTCAGAGAAACATTGTTCCCCTCCTTCCTGGGGGGGAAAAAAGAGGGAAAAATAAGATTAACTTTCTGACCCACTAGTTCCATTTCATAGAAGCCCTGCTTCCTCTCCTACCTCTAAGAGAGAAAGAGTGAGAGACAGAAACAGCAAAGAGGGAAGACAAGGGGAGGTATGGTGGAGGGAGGGAAGGAGGGAAGGAGGGAGGGAGAGAGAGAGAGAGAGAGAGAGAGAGAGAGAGAGAGAGAGAGAGAGAGAGAGAGAGAGAGAGAGAGAGAGAGAGAGAGAGAGAGAGAGAGAGAAATGATTAGCTACAGCTAATGTAGAAATTAAGGAACATTGAAATAAAGCCAGCGAACAATAGACAATACTGGAATAATTTTATACTATGTACTCACACGATTAGGTATTTTGCAGAGTTAGGAAACTGTCATGTTTTAGTTCCAATAGGAAAAAAAATAATTCTACAATCTAGACTCTTGTGATCACCAGATTTTTCCTTCAAAAACCGTCTTGGCCATATACTATTAAGATGTACCAGATCCACCAGAGTTTCAAAAGGCAATTTGTGAAATTCAATTTAATTTAGAATATTAGTCAAGTGCTTGCTGTGATAAGGGCAATTCTAAGACCCTAAGTTGCAGAGAAGTGCCAATCTATCTCACCAGGAGTTCAATACACTGATCATAGGTCCAGTAAAAAAAAAAAATCCAAGGAACTGTGCTAAGTTCAGAGGCTACAAAAACAAAAAATGGAACGGCCTCTGCCTTCAAGGATTAAAAATAAATACAAAGTAATTGAGGGAGAAGTGAGACAGACATGAGTAATTAAATGGGTAAGAACTGGGAGGATCAAGGTGTCATGAGCTGCAACTCCAACGAAGCCGAGGATTCTAAGCACCCCAGGTTAAGAAAGAGAGAAGGTTCTAGACGTGGAAGCCAACCAGAAGTAGGTCAGATGGAATGTCACATAAAAGGGGGAAAAAATTGGACAGTTTGGCTAGGAAGGGAAGCAATGTAAAATCAGTCTAGACAGTTACGTTGGAGCCAGATTGCAGAAAGCTTTAAATGCCAGGGAGTGATTTATATTGCATCCTGGAGGCAGTAGGCTTTCTGAACACAGTGGCATGGTCAAAACTGTGCAGCTATGTGGAGGAAGGAGGATTGGAAAGGGGAAAGACCTAAAGCAATACAAGAACACGGCCATAACTCAAGCAGGGTTAATGAAGATAATCTAGGGTGATGGCCATGTGACTAGAGAGAAGGGGGCAGATATTAAAAAAGATGTAGGGACAGAAATGGTAAAAGTTCAGCAACTGATCGAATGCAGGGAATGAGAAGAGGGAAGGGTCAAGCTTTGCCTTCAGGACTGTGAATGTGGGCAGCTAGAATAGTGGTGCCTTTGATTGTGATGAGAGAGGAGGCTTTGGGATAAAGACATGTTCTCCTTTGCGCATGTTGAATTTAAGGTTCTTTTGGGGCATCCGGGGGAGTTGGACAGCAAGCAGTGGGTGTAGGGCTGGAATTCAGGAGAGAGGAGTCAGGGACATGAAGATTTTTCTCCCCAAAGCTCGAGTTGAACACAGGCTATGTACACCAATGATGAACTTCCTTCAATATTTAGTTTGCAGGTTCTATTTCACTACTTCTCGAAAAAAAAATTATCTGAAGTAGGTGAAACTATACAGCTCAAACAGGAATAAGCAACAGAAGCTCAGGGGTCTTTTACACAGAGATGATAGTTGAGCCCAAGGGAGTCAAGTGTTAAATGCTGCAGACAGGTCAAGGATGTGACCTGAGGGAAAAAAGTCATTGGATTTAGCAATTTAAAGAGCATTAGTGTGAGAAACTTTGGTGAAAAGATAGCAACAACAAAAAAAAATTTTAAAGCATCAGTAACCTTGGAATAGGGTTGAAAGCCCGATTACAAGGTTATGCAGTAAAGTGAGTGGAGCTAAGTAGTATAGACACGATTAATAGTTTGGCTTTGAAAAACACGAAAGATATTGGACAACAGCATGAGGAAATGGCAGGGTAAACTGGTGTTTAACTTGATATTTGCAGGCAACATGGAAGGAGCCAATTTGATTTCTGAGACTACATCTCCTGGAGTGCCTAACTGTGGCTGTCACATAGGTGCTCGGTAAATATGTAAAGAGAAAATGAAAATAAGAGACGACTGAAGAGGCAGGAACCTGAAGGCAATGAAAGAGGGTGGGAACAACAGCTCAAGCAGAGTTATCAAAAGGCAAAGCATTGGGGGCAGCTAGGTGGTGTAGTATATAAAGAACCAGCCCTGAAGTCAAGAGGACTTGAGTTCAAATCCAACCTCAGACCGAACACTCAACACTTACTAGCTGTGTGACCTTGGGCAAGTCACTTAACCCCAATTGCCCCCCCCAAAAAAGGTGAAGTATTAACCACCATATGAAAAATGCTCCAAAACACTGAGATAAATGTCAATTAAATCCACTGTTTCCACCTATTAATCAGATTAGTAAAAATGATCCCTTCCCCTAAAAGAGAAGGGAAAAAGAACTGTAGGACAGAAATACTAATATATTGTTAGTGTAACTGTGAACAAATCAAGCCATTCTGGAAAGCAGTTTGGAACTTTACTCAAAAACCCACAAAAAAGTGTATTATCACAATATGGCTACCAGACATCTACCCCAAAGAAATGAAAGAGGGAAAGGCCCCATATGCACAAATATATTTCTAGTGGCACTTCATTGTGGTAAAGAACTGAAAACAAAGTTGGATGACCATCAAGTGGGGAACAGCTGAGCAAATATGATTTACAAATATAAAAGAATATTATTGTACCTTAAGAAATAATGAAAGGGAGTAGATTCAAAGAAACCTGGGAGGACTTGTATTAACTGATAACAGTGTGGTTTTAAAATGAGGATCAATGCAATGACCAGTCACAACTCCATGAGACCTGTGATAAATCATGTTTCTCATTGCTTGTAAAGGAAGCAGACTAAACATGTGCAGGGTGAGACATACATTTGCATACATAGCCAATGTGTGAATTTATTTCTTCTGACTACACTGCTGTAGGTAAGTTGGGTTTTGTTTGGTTTTGGTTTTTTGCAGGGTGGGCAAATAGTCATGTAGTCATAGAAATAAGAAAAGGGGAAGGTGGTGCGAAAAATGTTTTTAAAAATCCACATAAGTTCAGAAGAGGACACAATGAAACAGAGCAGCATTTAAGCAACCATTTTTAATTTTAACATCTACTTTTAAAAATTGGCCATACGTAATATTTATGGTGTTATCTCCAATCCTTTTAGTTCTCTATATTTTTTAAATGACCATTTGCTAAGTGCATAATGAAGGATAAAACTTTAATAAAATCGTTATAAGGTAAAGAAAAGAGAGGATATAATCAGATCACAGAATCAAGAGATTTAGAACTATTAGAGATCTTAGAGATCTATCCAGCTCCTTTCAGCTCCAAATTCTATGAATCACACTAAATTTTCATTTGTTATTCTGAGCTAGCCCCTTGTGAGAAAGATTATCACTCTCTACCTTGCTACTCTTGCTATCTACCAAGGTATGAACTTATTCTCAATTCTTGTAGCTCATATCTACTCCATGAAGTGAGAAAAACTAATTCAATGTGGTAGCCTGCTTAGCCTAGTTGTAAACTATTATGAAAGCCAAAGCTAATAACAGAACCAGCACGGTAATTTATAGAAGAAACAAAACATGAAAAGTGTGGAACCACCCTCTTGAAATGCCTTCAGCAAAATACAAGATTAAAGAGTAAAAGTTAGAGCTGATCTCCCTCGCAGTGTTAAGACTAACCTTGGAAATAGTGAGGAAACAAAATTAAGTTATTGGCCTGTGATTTATAGAAGGATGAGCATAATATTCTTATCTATAGAGCATTTTTTAAGTCAATCGACACAGAAAAATCTTTTGGCAAAAAAAAAGTAATTCCACAGATGCAGAAATTTGTCTAATTTGTATTTTATTGCATTATGAAAATAATACATTTTTGGCAAAGTAAGCTGGGCTCCAAGTTCAAATAATAAGAAAATCCTGAAGGAAGTTTATTATTGGTTCACTATATTTAAATATATTCTCATCAATACACTATCATTCTTATTAGACTATTAATGCATTAAACTTAGTCTTGAACCACTTTCCCATATAAAATTATAATTATTTAATGTCACTGCATTTATCCATTTTATGATTGCCATCTATCTCACAAATAGCTGAGCATCCCTTTTGCCATGTACTTATGAAATTGTTCAGGGATCATAATTTTAAAGCCTCCCATAATTTAGTTCCTTTGGTTGTACAAGTTGTAAATGTATCCCCTCTCCAATTTTTTCATAAATACCATTTTAGCAGCTTTCTTAAGAATTACTTCACACCAGCACCTTTACATGAAAACTAATTTATACTATATTAATTGAAAGTTAGTCTCTGACTTTAGGTTAAAATGCATAAAAAATGCATGCCTATCTACATTGGCAAAATAAAGCACTCTTAAATGAACACAATGCTTTTTATAAAGCCAGTGCTTATATGGCCCAGTGTTTGAGGGGTTCTTTTCAAAGTCGCATGATTACTGCTCCAAATTGCCAACAATAGACTATTATTTTGCCTGCTTTCAAAGGTGCAGCCAAAACTTATCCTAACTTGATTTAAACAAACCATTGGGGGGGTGAGGGTGGGGGGGTTGGAGATGATGGGAATCATTGATTGTTGTGTTCTACTATATCAGAACTGTTTTCAGTATTTTCAAAACATACTGTAATCATTTCTGGCAAAAAAAAATTAATGAAAACTAATGTTTATTTATTCTTCAATGCCTAATCAGTACTGATTACTATTTTATGTCTAGGCAAACAGCCTAAGTAATTAGAAGCCATTTCTAGGCTAGAAAAGATGAGCAAGAAAATGGCATTTTAAACCCACAAATTCTTGAATCTTGATTTAGATCTTTTGAAATTCTGTTGGCCCACCATGTTAAAGAAAAACTATTGTCAGAATGAACATTGTGAAATGTCAGAAATGTACCAATTACCAAAACAGGTCTGACATGTTAATTAGAACTGTTATCTTTCTTTCTTAGTTTATCTCCTGAGTGCACCTTTTCAAGCTTAAGAATAAACTTCTCATTCCCTGCTAGTTACCAACACCTTGACAGCAGCTAAACAAGAAGTCTATATCCAAGTTTAACCATGGAAGTGTCTGTCCCATCCATCCAAATAAAGAAGCACGATATATTCCATAAGTAAACCCAGAGCATTCGTCAGTTCACCTTGTGTAAACAGCAACAAATTTGATCTATGATCAACATTTGAAGGCTAACAATAAACTAAAAATTAAAAAGCATATCTCTCATACAGAGTTAGGATAGCATTTTATACATTCATCATTATTTTACTTTATTTAATAAAGAGATGCATTTACCCTTGCAAAAACAGCAATTGCAAGTTTACAAGTTCACAGACCACAAAACCACATTGCTAAATTTTAAAACTTAAAATTGACAAAGTAAATTGGTTATAATCATTACATTAACAAATAGTCCATGGCACTACAACTATTAAAATAAAAATATCAAAAGGTCATGGGTGCTTAAAGAATAGGTTTATTGACAATATTTTCACAAAAATCCTAAAGGAAATTCCAAAATTTCTAAACTTAAAATGTTTAAAATTTGTTCTCATTGGCAAATTATCCAACAAAAAAGTAAAATTTTACTATGAATGAATGTCATATTTAACCTTGCTTCATTTCAACATTTTGAACATTTATTTTTTATTAAACACATCTGCAGTTGGCAATTTTGAAAAAATTAAAAGAAATTTGCAATGTTTGATTTTCTTTTTTCTGGGAGATAATAATCAACGTGCAGTGTTTTTTTGTTTGTTTTTTAACTATCAAACATTCTTAAATATATCCTCTGGCTGCTGTGAACCTGACAGACAAGACAGTCAGTAATAAGTACTCTACAAATACAGAAACTGAGCCAAATTGTTCTGGTGTTTCTGTAAATAAAATTTAAACAGACAAAATCCACAACCTGTGTTTTTCCCCAAATCATTCGTAAAGCATATGATATGGTATCAGAAATTGCATCAACTTTTTAATCCATTTGTGTATTTCAGGCATCTGAAACTAAAAAAGGTATTCTTTTGTTTTGATAAAAATGTACTCGAATATTTTATAACATTAATATTTATTGCTTTATATGAATACTGTATTGAAAGCCCAAGCATTCAGTTTACACACAGAAATTATACAATTATATACCGCTTCACAAAGGCAGTGAACACATTACAATCTACAAAATCTACTTTACAGAAATTTAAAAATTCTAAATATCAAAAAGGTACAGTTGAAGAAACAGGTATAAATTTGGCAGCCAGTAATTTTGACTGGGAAGTTGCAGCTTGCATGACTTTATGGGAATCTGAAAACATTGAGTTGAGCAGTAGTTGTGCTTTGCGCTGATCTGAAAAATAGAACACTGGCTGTCGGACTAGCATGTTCAAAAATATTTAATTCACTTCAAAATGTCATACAAATTATGTTGTTTCTATGCACCCCTAGAATTTTCAATCGTTTAGCTCAGGTACATTACTAAGGTAATATATTAATTCCTCCAGTACAATGGTGTATCATACCAAATCCATTTGCATACTTTCAAATAATTTAGAAAGAAATGTGTAATATTCACAATGTTCATAGAAGCAAGCAAAAGGTGAAGTAACCTGCTCAGTTCTTCTGAGATGTTTTCACATCAGCTTCATAAGCATTCACCCTATAAAATATTAAGCTAATGGTTGAAGACTGTTCTTAACATAAAGCAAATTTTTCTCATAAATAAATGAAGTCCTTTTAGTCAGGCACCTCAGAAGTATACAAAAGGGTTGTAGTTTGAACAGATTTCTTGGAATGTGTTTAACCTGGTACTTCCAACAGTGTTAAAAGATTTCCAGGGTTTCATAGGGGCCAGATTTTATTTGAATCATTCAGAAGTGAAAGAAATTGCCTTCTGAAAGAGGTGAATTCAATTATTTCCAATAGAAAAAGTATTCACTGTATTCATCTCTTATAGAAACAGAAAAATAGAACATTTTCCCCCTTAGAATAGTATATATATATTTATACGTATTTATGACTTAAGGTTCCATTGTACATAGTCAAACAATAAAATCTGGAAACCAGCATGAAACCCTATAATTCACATGTTAAAATGTTGAAACTATGACCAAAATATGAAAACTGCTAGAGCTGTCAGAAATAGACAAGACAAAAAGCTTTCTTGCATATGTATAAACTAAATGTGGTAAATCTCCAAAAAGTTTGTCAAAATTATAATTATTACCTTCCAGTTTAAAAACTTTTATTCTAAATTAAAAAAAAATCTATACACATACCACTGATTTGACCAGACCAAAAAGTCAGCGGTAAGCAGGACCTGAAGGAGCCGATGTTCACAGTTTTTATGTGTAAAACTCTTTCAGGATTTATTCCATGAAGAATCATACTTTACAACCTGCTTCTCTTGTAAAACTAAAGGTCCACTTTATTACACAAAAGTTTTATACAGTGGAAAATCAGGGCCTTATGTAAAATACTGCATCTAAATGGGTCTCACAGCTAGTCTTGCTCCATAGGTTCTTCTGCAATGTCTGTGGCCTCATCACTGTTTTCCATTGGGGATTCAGATGGAATTTCTTGAGTTTCACTGGCATAGGCTCCTAATTCTTCAGTTTCACTGCAATCAGCACCACTACTTACAGGTCTTGTATTTTCACTGTCTTCAGAATGCAAATCTTTGTCTTCCTGAGATAGGACAGATTCCTCCATTTGATTACTCTCCTCAGAAGTCCCTTCACTCACAGTTAAGGCCTCATCAGTCTCTTTTTCTTGATCTTTTCTTTCTGGAGTAATTTCTTGTGAGGTCACAAAAGATTCTAAAAATAATCAAAAGTTGCAATAGTTAAGTTTGTATTTTCAAAAAATGTTATCCCTGTTAAAGTTTCATTCACCTATACAATAGGCCAAACAATATCCTGAAACTTTAACTATAATCAGAAACACATCTAGCACCAACATTGAAACAATGCTACGTGAATCCCATCACTCTCTTTCTAAATACCTTCCTCCTCCTCCTCGTCTTCCTCTTCTTCCTCCTCCTCCTCTTCCTCTTCTGTACAACGCTGTCTGGAAGAGCTGTTTCCTCTGTCTTTATCCTGAGATACAGATGGTGTTCCTGTTTCTTCTACCACAGCTGAAGACATCTCCCCAGAGGAACTCTGGTTGGCTGCGTCTCTGTCCTCACCGTCTGTGTCAAATTTGAGTCTTTTGACCTCGTGCCCCTCAGCTTCCACAGGGTCTTCATCAGCGTGTTTGTTTTTTACAGTACTCGCTTGGGTGCCTTCCGATTCAGATGTTGATGAATCACTGTGTAAATTTTGCAAAAGTCTTACTAGGTTATAAAATATTAGTCATCTCTACCAATTCTTGTATTTAAGGTACAACCTCTTCTACTATTCTGCTTACAAGGCTAATATATCTGGCAACAGAGGAATCTAGAAAGTCAACGTCTGAGTGACAACAGGTCCCACTTTTCTTACCAGCTTCTTCCCATATGCGCCTGTGCCATTTACTATGTGAGCCTCCTCTGCCTATTCCTTGTCTTTTTAAGGTTGGTTTTCTCTTTTGATGTGACGAAAGATAAAGGAAGCATGTTCTTCCTTTCTATTTTCTTTATATATTGTCAGGAGAAATTGTCTGTCCCGCAGGATTTCAAACCTTATTTGGAAAGATTTTTTTCTTTTTCAAGTATTTTTTAAAATGTAAGTATATTTTAAGCTTTATAAATGCATGTAATTCCTCAAAATTTAGCTCCACAGGTCACCATTAGAATATTCATTTGACCCAAACCCCACTTACAGACTTCAAAATGTATGCAGCCCAGGCCAGACACTCAGCTCAGAGCTGATTTTTCTCCTAGTTAATATCTTACATTTGTGCATTTAGGACTGACAACATTAAACTATACTGGAATCTAGTGATAGATTAACTTTGGTGAAAATACAGATATGTAAAATGTATACAAACCTGTGGTTTTTCTCCTCAGTCAGGTGCAAATTTGACTCTTTACCTTCTGTGTTCTCGGGCAAACCATTTGTTGTCATAGGGGTTGACAAAGAAACCTTTGGTCGGTTAACTGGTCTGGGAGTTCCAGGACCATTAATGTTAGACCTATAATAAAGCACCATTATTGTTCTGATGAAAATTAACCCTTCCCCAGATACAGACATACATAAATTCCCCAAAATGTAATATGCTGAATATTCTGTCTCCCAAGTCTACGTGTCAAAAAATAAGTCTTTTCTGTTTGTTATTTGTCCACTCCCATCAGAAGCCTATGTTTGAAAGGACAGGATCTATTTCCCAAAGTGGGGAAATGTGTCTGTTGTCACTAAAACCAACTTACCTGTCAGTGTAACTCGGTGAGTTTCCAGGAAACATAACACCATTCATCCGGTTTAAGCTGTTAGAACTGTTTTTCCTATGAGAAATGAAAACATTCCACTATATAACAGAATGCTGAAATTCTTTAATTTTGGTAATGAAAACTATGCCTTCTAAAAGAAGTAGAGGGTTTTTGTGTGAGTCAACATTTGGTTTTAATATAACTAGAAAAAAAGTCTCCATACTTCTCCCAAATGCAATGACACGACCTTAAAATGTACGTGCACATACAAACGGTCAAGGCTAAAGGAAGGCCTTGACTGACAGAAATTATTTGGGGGATGTAGGAATGATAAGGAAACCACACACTTCATAAAATAAACCCTGTCTTATTAACCCTAAAGATGAATATTTTTTTCATTATCTTTATCAAATTTTCTTTTTCCCCCCCTTTCATATATTGTCTAATTACTCATGACAAATTCTAACCTGAAAAATCAGACCAGCAAAACCTGAGCTACCTTGAATGCTCCATCTTGGGACTTAGTCTTATGGTACTAGTATAATTCCGTTCCAATATTTAAGTTTTGGAGTTAAATTATCAATGTCATCATATAATGGACTTCTTTTTTATGCCCTTAACAATGGGCAAAAAAGTTTTATTGCCTTTCTTTTAATTATTCTTGTTGGGTTTTTTTGTCTTTTTTACCAATAAGTACAGTAGATTACAGGAGCATTTCATTTTGAAACTGTCATGCTCCAGAAATAAGTTTGTAAAGTGAAATAAATCTAATCAATAAATCTAATCAATTCAATAAATTTTGATCCTAAGGTGGACTACTTCATACCAAATCTTAAAAGTCTAGCAATACTTCAGTCATAAAGATAAGTTATAAGTTGTTCATTACCCAAACTCTAATCATTATCCATCCATTTACGTTATGCATTTAAAAACAAGAGATCTACAACACACAAAAAAAGATAAAGATTCTTCGCCTTAAGGGTATCCTGGAATGGAGGTGCCTAGGTTCAGGGTGGGCTAATTATCCCTGAGCTTCACAAGCAGTGATTCATCTGTCAAACCTTAAATAAATCAACCATAGAGGCTCTGTCCTTTAAGATGGACAAAGAAAACATTATTCTGCCTGCATTGGGCATGTCTGCCAAACAACAGGCAGATGCCTTATCTGTGAGACACCAAACACCCAATATGCAAGTACAACAAGTGAAATATTGATTCACCCCCTCTCAGAACTCTTGGTTCAGAAACCAAGAAATCCTCCCTAAACAAATTCTAAACCCCATCTCCTTCAGTTCCTGAAGTAGAATCTTTATAGAGTAGATGTTCATAGAGTAGAGGCCATATGTACTTCTATTGTAAAATAAGAGTTGGTTCAAGGAACATAAGCAGCTTAGGAACATGAAAAACAAAAAGGTTAGATAATACATGCCAGATCAGATTTTGTTGTTATATTACATACATTCATAAGTCTGAGATTTTAATATACATTTAACCCACTGGTACTGAAAATACAATTCCAGTAATGCCTACCTTTCTGATGGGAAATATCACAAAAACAAATCAAAATCACCCTAATTAATGAGGCTAGGGTGAAGAGGCAGAGATGGGAGCATAAATTCCACAATTCTAAAAAGAAAGAGTACTTTTAAAGCTATTGCAAGAATTTTTATACTTACTCTGAAGATGGATATACACAGCTAACAACCATCACATTCTGCAATAAGAAAAATTGGTAATTTAATAGTAGAATAAGACCACATGATGTTTACTAATTCTTACTGTCACAACCATCCTGAAGTAAGGTCTTTATTCCTGCTATTTTACTAATAAAGAAAATAAGGTGGTATATAAAGATAATCAAAATCCCAAAGTCAGGGCAAAAATCAAGCTTTTCCCCTACCATAACAATTAATTACTATAATTTGTTTCTTGGAGACAAAACCCATCAAATTCTCTTACCCTAAATATTGCCAATTTCTACTAAAGTTCTATTTCAATGTTTCATCATGGTGTGAAGGTGACTCTAGGATTTCAAAGACTATGCAGGAGAAGACAATCTCTGGCAGCTCCTACATCAACCTAGAAAGGCATTGATGGAAGGAGTATTCTCAGCAGTAAATCATGGATCTTTTAATGTAACGAATACTTTGGAAGTCTAACACTGGTGGGCAAAAATGCTGGCAATGAAGTCCCAGAGTGGAGGTTAGGCACTGACAATAAATCTCCCTGGCAGAGCAAGAAAACTGATAGCACTGCTGAGTAGAATCCCCTTCAGTTTGGGACCTGGAAAGCCACAGAGAAGGAGAGGGGTTTTGGGATGGAGGAGGAAGAGGGAATAGGGCCACGACAGAAGGAACTAACATGGAACCTTATAAAAAATTAAAGCCTCAAATCCATGTTATTTTAGAGGTTCTAACAGGACTAAATTTAATTCAATTTTAATCAGAATTTTAGTATTAATTCTGAATATATTTGATAATCTATTCCCAAAGTTAATAAAAACGACGACTGATATAGTATTACTAGATATAACTGATAAATAAAATAAAAGGATAATTTTAACAAACTTCTAACAAAACAATTACACCAAATATCTCTCAAGATCCCTAGGTCAAGCGTGTGTGTGTGTGTGTGTGTGTGTGTGTGTTGTGTGTGTGTATAAAATAATACAATTCAATTAGTTAAAAAATACCTTTTCTACTCCTCTGAGAAATTTGTCTGTTCCTGTATAGTTCCTCCTTGGATCTGTTAGCAATTCACAAAGTCGCTGAATAGTAAAAGGAATACTGCAATAGAATACAATTTTATAATTAAGAAACTGTGTTATTAATGTGTGAGAGAACTGTGAGCATTAAATTACGGACTAAGTTTTCACTGACAGTATATCCTAGACTAATTTAACACCGTTGTGGCTTTTAGTGATGGTATTAAAAAATATTACTTGTCCTTTAACTGCTTCAAAAAGCAAACTACTCCCCCATCCCATCTTCCTTGCCTAAAAGAAAATATTACTTAAATTATAGCACAAAAACAAAAAATATTCAAACTTAAAAGTAATTTCAAAACATAAGGGTAAATTGAAGGATTATTTGAAATATAAGTAGTCTATACCTACCTCAGGGGGTTGTTGTGAGGATCAAATGAGATAATATATGCAATTTAGCACATAGTGGACATTTAATAAATGCTTATTTCCTTCTCTTCTCGCCTTGTAGATCAAGGTACCTAGCTTTAAGTTTTATATTTTCAAGTTTTAAACAAGAATTTTTAAAATTTTCAAAAGCAGTCATAGTCATTTCATTCTCTAAATTCAACTCTTTAATCCTTTACCTTAGCAAGAGCTCTTCTATAACAGTCTCAAGAAAATTGTGATTTTTCTGTGGGACAGGCTTTAAAGGTGAATTACTCTTGACTGCAAAGAGTGCACTACATACAATTCTACCCTTATAATTTCAAATGGAATTATTTCTTCGTACCTAAAAAAAAGTTTTAATGGTATAATTATGGGCATACACCCCTAAAATGGAAAAGAATATTTGTGTACCCAAATTAGCAACTACATTTCTATATTATTTATAAGAGAATTATTACACAAAAACACCTAAGTCCTACACCAAAGTCAGGATTGTCAGTAAAGTACTGCTCTAACACCTCGCCATGGCAGAGTGATACTTCAGGCTTCCCCGGGACTATCCCCAGAAAGCACAAACTTTGGCAAGTCTTATACCAAACTGGAAAAAAACCGGGCTTTCCAAATATACTGGTTATTCTTAAAAGACCAACCTAGCTAAAAATAAGGGAAAGTTCATCATCAGAAAGGTGGCCAATAGGAAAGGAATTCTGGGGGCAATAGCAATTCATGAAGATCATCTACTAAAGCATAAAATGATGGCATTCTGCACCAATGGAATAAATACCTACATTCATGAAAAAAAGCACTGATCCATGAACTTACTGGAAATATAGTTATACGCAGTTTTATTTCAACAGAGAAACAAAACAACTACCAGAATGAGTCACCTATCCCACTGAATTTCAGCTCAGATACTAAGATCTGTAACATGACAACATATTTAATTATATTTTGCCTAGCTTCATAGATAAAAATCATAACAGTTATAAAACCTAGCCCTTCAAAAGTATCTGCTACACAAATTTCTACAGTTTAACAGTACATTCTCTTATAATCATTAAAATATAATGAAAAGAATTTAAATTTGAATTAAGACAATCAACTGAAATTATATATCAACATCAAGACACAAATACTCATCCACACAAAATGAGGTGGTTTTAAATTAACAAAACATATTAAATACATTTTAAAAACATAATATTTACATTAATTATTCTCTAAAGGACATCACTGAACGTGTACTCAACTTTTTAAAAACACGAGCACTACTAGCAATACCTGACACCTAAATTAATCAGTTATTATAACATATTTTTGAAAGGCACGATTACCTTAAATTAAAGTTATTCATCAAAAATTAAAGCATCCTTTTGGTCATTGTGGTATACAGACAGGTAAAAGATGCCAAGAAATCCCAAATTCCTCATTTTCCAAATTAGTATCTGCTCTGAACTCAATACAACTAAAAATATAGCTGTAGTTCAAAAGATGAGGCATATACTAAATAAGCTGACAATTACCCTTTTAAAATATGTATCCCAAATACATTAGCCTAAATAATAGTCATAACAAAGAGATCAGCTTTTTTGATGGACAAGCTAATCCTTTATTTTTCCCTATCTTGTAGAAATTGAAGTAAACTTATAAAATGAACTTATTAGGAAGGAATGGTTAACAGACTAGACAGATAATACTACAACATTTTCTCTCAAAGCAACATTATAAGCACCAAAAGACAAAGAATTGTTACATTATAATTACCACAAACTTTTCCTATTAAAATGTTAAAAGGGGAAATGTCACTAATAGTTGTTCTTTAAGTCCTCAAGTTCTGTTTATTTTTGTACATTTCAAAAGCACTCAACAGCACTTTACCTTCTGCCCAGGAGATGGCAGTATGTCATTTTTTTTCTCTCCCATTTCTTTGACCCAAGGCCAAAAAATTTCAAAGAAAAAGTTATTCTACCTTTCGGAAAGATGCCTTTTATAAACTGACTTTGAGAAAAGAATTGAAGACACAAAGGTAACTATCAACTTATGATATATATTGATACCCAGAAATTTATTTCTGCAAATCAGTGAGCTCGTGATAATCTTATATGATCAATCCAAATAACACCAAATTTGGTTTAACTATGGAAAAGACTTGCACACTCCATTAATCTCCATTTAAGATACTTGGACAAATGCCCTACCCTAACAAACACATTAGATACATCTCTACAAAAAGTTAAGAACAGACTTCCTCAATAATATTAGAGAGGGTTAATAGAATATTTAGGGGAAAAAAATGTATCAAGTACCTATTTGCTTATAGAGGATAATCCTAAACACCTGAGAGATGCATAAGAAACAACCACAGCTCCCCAACAAAAATGGAAACATGTATCTTCTATTCAAGTTTTTTTAAATGGGGAGATGGGTACAGTTTCAAAGAAAACTATAAATAAGAGAAATAAAATTCAAATTAAATAGCAATTCCATTGCTGTCCAATTTTTGGAAAATGAATCTGATACTTAAATCACATCAGAGAAAACAAGTTAAGTTCAAAAAGTATAAACATAGCCACAGTAGTATATAGAAATCATAGGGTTTATCCTAGCCTTTATGCACAAAATAGGAGACTAGAGCTCATCAACAATTTTAAACAGAATAATTTAACTTTAAAATACTAACTTTGCAATCAAAAGAATATATAGTTCTGGTTCAACCCTTTATTTGCCACTCCCCCCAACTAAAAAACAAAACAAAACAAAACAAATTTGAGAATGTAATATGCCCTAATAAATTCAGTTACTTAAATTTTTCCAGGAATATTTGGTTCGTATGAAAAAAATTCCTTGAAATAGTTGAGAAAATTTTAAATAAATGTTAAGGTTCTATAAAAACCCCAAAGTAATTGATTCAAAAATCATAGCTAAATTTAAATCACATTAAACAATAAAGACCACAGTAAATTATGGAAAAATAAACTCTCCCAAACTCAACCTTAGAAAAACTCGTTTGATGAAAGATCTCCAACGTATAATATAGAAAAATAAGTAACAGTAAAGTGAAGTTCAAGACACTAGAAACCTGAATTAAACTATAAAATAGTAGTGCAGCCAAAAAAAAAGTGAAGATTGCTGAGTTTAATGAAGCCAGTCTCTAGATCTAACAAAAGAAAAAAAAAACTCCAATGCATCTACCAATGTTCTTATGTTTGAAAATTGCAGAAGAAATAGTTTCACTGAAAGATATGTCATCAGTTAAGTTTCAAATCCTAAGCATTCTTAATATGTACAACATGCATTCAGGTTGAAAGGACTAAAGAAAAAAGCAGAAATATAATCTCTTTGATATAGTTAAAGCTTTGAACTGATTTACCACTGGGGAATCCATGACTGTGCTTAAAAAACTACCTTATAGACAAGCTTAGCAACAGAAATCTCTTAATATCCAATATTAGCTACTATACTCAACCAAATTAAAAAATTAAGAACACAAAGTATTACCATGTAGGCTATTTAGTTCCCATGATCTTTACAAAAGGTAAAAACGAAAATGAGAAATGATTTTGAGGAACCTTGGCTTAGATGATAGGAGGGTGAGTCAGGAAGCCCTGAATTCAGGTCGTTGCATCTGACACAGCAGGAGACTGAGAAAAATCATTTAACTTTTCACCGCCCCCAAGCATTCATAAACCTCAAAGTTACAGTAGAACTGCTAACACACTGGAAATTCCCTAAGCAGATAAATGAAAACACATTTCTGGGCAAAGCTCCCTACAACAGAATAAAGTAAGCACTACTGTCTATGTAAGGAAACTTGTCCCTTTCTTCTATATGAAAGGCCAGCTGCAGCTCCTTCAGGGCCATTAGCTCTGGTTAGTGATTTAAAAAAAAAAAAAAAGCAAAGCAACCTCTGGACCAAATGGGACCTCATTCTGCTCACTTTGAGTCATTAACACAAAGCTCTCAAAAACTGGATGTCTGTCTCCTGGTTTTTTTTTTAACCATTTCCTGGTTTTGAGGCACTGCTTAGCAAAAGTAAGGGGCCTTTTAAACTTGCTCCCTCCTTAAGATCTTGGCTTGTTTCAGATTGACCCTGAAGAAATCCTTGTGTGAATATCACTGCAAACAGAAGTTTCTAACTACAGGGACTAATTTGGATTTTTAATTCCACTAAGTGAGAAGAGATGTAACTTTTCTTTTTATGCTCAAAAAATATTTAAATTAAAATAAAATCAGCCCTGTAATTGACTTAGAAAGGCATAAGGCAATGGGATATTTTGGAAAATACAAAAGGAATTAAGTTCCTCTAATAATCTCAATGAATCCGAAACTGACAGTGACCAGCAATTATATTTTGAAAAGCAAAAATAAAGCCCCTATGACATCTGTCAAAGCTTTTCAAGTCAAGGCCTTCAAACGAAGCCTAACTTCTTAATTTACTTGGTAAAGAAAAACTACATTAGCTTACTGCTCCTTCCTCTTTGCCTTTCCATTTCAAGAATACTAGAAGTAGAGCAAAACAACTGGCCACAATACACCACACTAACCAACTAATTAATTTTTCCTAAAGGACTTTATAAAAATCAAATAAAATCAATTCTCACTTATCTATGCTAAAGGGGAAAATGCATAGTGTAAATAAATGGAATGTAAAGCAAACATTTTAGTTACTATTTACAATGGCTTCACTGTAAAAGCAATTAAAGAGAAAAACTGAATACAATTTCTACTCCTCTAGCTCCACCCCCTATCCAGTGACTAGGAAGAAGAGGTAAAGGGGGAGGAGGAAATAAGAAAGATCCTGAAACAGTTCCTGGACAGGATACAGAAATCAGGCTAAAGAAAGATCATTTTCCATCTACAGTAAAATTTTCCTCTTTCATACTAGCTAATAATATAATAATGAATACTAGCTAATAATGGTATTTTCTTTAAAAGTACAAAAATCAAATGTTTTTGTGCATGCTCCAAGATAATCAGGATTCCTATTCTCAAATATGCTTCCTATAAATATTGTATATTCCCTTCATCTTTTATTCAATAAATATTTACTGAGCACCTATAATGTACAAAGCATTTAGCTAGGTACTACAAGTAGGGCAGGTATCTACATGCCTTACTGGTAAAGACAAATGCCAAATCAACTGGTTACTACGGTATAATCAGGGTTCTTGAATCCCTATATAAAAAGAATTTTGGGGAAGAAAAAACATAATACAACAGTTACTTTTAACAAATTAGGGATCATTGACTTAGAGTTGGGAAGGACTTTGGAGAGCATCTAGTCCAACTCCATCATTTAACAAAGACGAGACTGTGGCCAAGGGAGGAGCAGTAACTGGCCCAAAGTGACCTGAATAAAGTGGCAAAGCCAACATTCAAACCCAGGATCTCTGACTCCAAATCAAGCACTCTTTCCACCACATCACACACACTGATTCTTGAGGCATGTAACTGCTTTAAAGTTTTAAAATAACAACCACAGTACAACAGGATACGGTACAGATTAATGGCTCTTTAGGGATGAACAGATTGCATAAATAGTATTGTTTCCCATAAAAGTATGTGGAGATGCTACATTATGACTGACACGGATACACTGCAAACAACTTAATTCTAAGAGCTAAAAAGAAGTTTCCCCAATAAGCAAATCAGAGTTAAGAATTGGTTTAAATTGAGGAAATGTCTTTTTTTTTTCTTTTTACAACTGCTATCAACGTGGTCTGAGTCCTAGCCATGCAGGAAGAACCTTACCCTTTCTATTAATCCAACAAGTATTAAGAGTTACTAGCATATCCCAAACAAAGAACAACTCTAGGGGCCACAAGAAATTAATAAAACTCCCTCAAAGTTCAGGGTTTCTTAAACTTGGGGTCCACAGATTCAGGGACTCTATGAAATAGGACGGGGGCAGGGGGAATGGCATGTTTACTTCAATATAAGTGATTTCCTTGGTACCTCTGTTATTTTATGTATTTAAAAATACTCGAAGAGAAGGGCCTCCACAGGCATCACCAGAAAGGTTAAGTACCCCTTGCTATATGGTCTGTTTTGGTTTTGCTGCTTTTTTTTTTTTAACTTGATCTCAAAAAAGATGATAGGAAAGAGCAAAAAGAGGAGAAAAACTAAGAAACAGGGAGAGGGAGAAGGAAAGGTGAGGGAGTATGTATTGGGGGAAAAGCCTTTTAAAAATTATCTTACCAAATTTTAAGAAATATTATCACTGTTACCTTCATTCCTTTTAATTTGCAGTTCTGGTGCTTCTACTTGACAGGTAACACAATGATGAGTGCCAAGTAAAACAATTCATTTAAAGAATTCAAAAATCTTTATTATATCCTAATATTCTACTCTTGTCTTGTCTGCTTACTTCCTTCATTAAGAATAGCAACCAGGGCAGCTAGGTGGTGCAGTGGATAGAGCACCAGCCCTGGAGTCAGGAGAACCTGCGTTCAAATCCAGCCTCAGACACACGTAAAACTTACCAGCTGTGTGACTCTGGGCAAGTCACTTAACCCAAATTGCCTCATTAAAAAAACAAAAAGAAAAGAAAAACAACCATTAGTTTCTGGAGTATGGATAACACTGTCACTTTCCTTATCAAAATTTTAAAGGTGTCCATCAATTAATTTTGAAACAAAAGCCAAACTTTAGGTTAAAAAAAATACTGTTCTGTAACACAAATTCACTTATATGTGAAAACAAATAAAAAATATACATCTACACCAAAAAAAGTATACCTCATTAGCAAAGGGAGGGGAAACTTTTTAAAAATAACGAGGCAGCTAGGTGGCACAGTGGATAGAGCACCAGCCCTGGAGTCAGAAGGACCTGAGTTCAAATCCAGCCTCAGACACATAATACTTCCTAACTGTGTGACTCTGAGCAAGTCACGTAACCCCAATAGCCTCACAACAACAACAACAAAAACCCAGAAATTAATGAATGGCTCATTTTTGAAGAGTACTGCAAAAACACAAGACTCACAAAAATACATCTCAAGGTGTAAGGTAACTAAACCCCGGGGATACTTTGATTTCAATAATGCATTAGATAAAAAAACTGGAATAATTAAATCCTCGACAAAAATCTTACTTAACATATCAAAGATAAAGACTTTGGTTCTACCTAGCTAAACAAAAACAGGAAAAATGTTATGTGGTTCGTAACTCTGAAATCAAATGAAAAGAGGCTATACAGAAGTCCAAAATATTTCAGAGCCTAGTTATATATGTCATTATTTTAATTAAAAGATAAATTGAGAAATTAAAAAGGTAAATATTCCTTTTTCCTCCATTATATCCCAGAATTTAACTAAATCCATCAATATTTCACTGTTTTGTGAATGTCAGTACAATTTCATAGCATATGCGCTGTGTACATGTATCTTGCAGATTTGCAATAGCATATAACGTCATAGTATTTAACAATAAAGTGCAAAATGAAATGTAAAACATTTCCTCTTATCTCAGCTTTTAAAAATCATAGTGATATAGTTTGGTGAACTTAAAGTTGAAATGCTATGAAATATAAACGCTCACATTTTTTACACGGGCAAATGTGAAGATCAGTGTTGTAGTCAAAGTTTCAACATTGTTTAATACCTAAAAACATTAAAAACATTTATGCTCCACCAACTGTCCTCACAGATGAAACCCTTTTCAATAACTACCAAGATTCGAATATAACTCCCATAACTCATCATAACTGATATTTTAAAGACATAAGGAACTACCTGTTTGTTACTGGTAAATCTAATTCTGTACAATTCAGATTCCTAAATATTTTTACTATTTCACAAATCCTTTAAAATTACTATTATAGGAAATTATTTAAAATTTCAATACCAAATAAGACGTCCATTTTTTAAAAATCAGCTTTATTTTAACAAAATATGGTTTCAGTGAAACTTTTCACAAAGAAGCAAATAATATATGTAATGTGCTTTTAAAAAAATGAAATTAAAATCTGTCACCTTCCAGAAAAGTTACTCTGGACAATTTTTAAACACAATAAAATTTATAATACTAACTTTGCTGTAGGGAACATATGTAGCTATTATTATTATTAGTAAGCTACAAGTTCTATACAAACTATAAAAACATTAGTTGTAGTACCATTTAAGAATAAAATCCTGTAAGTTAAATACAACTTGAATCCTTCTATTTATGCTGATGTTTCATTTTATAAAATCTAACTTCATAAAAAAGGTCATGATGTGTTTTGAGTAGAAAAACAAGGTAACTGCAAATATTTTAAAATTAAACTGTACATTAGCCAAAAACTATTTATAGGATAAGACCCAAAAAGATGTCATGAACATTTGCTTTTAATCAAATTCATACAGTTTGATGTTCATACGTGAAAACTGCTCCAGGGAGCAAAATCTAGAATTCTAAACGGCAAGGATGATAAAAAAAAAAATTAGACATAGCAAAACTTAATGAAACAAGTTAACATTTTATTATGAATTCAATGTTTAAAATAGTAAAAATGCATACCCATTGAATCCAGTGACAATTTTCAGAATTCTTTCCTTCATTTCATCAAAGGGAATATATTCAACATTAGGGTTAGGAGGACCTCTTGGTTCAGGAGCTGACGTTCTGAAATCATCCATTACTTTCTCCAATTTGAAAATAAAATAGCCTTTAAATTGGGACCACTGAATCCTACAAGTTTAAATTTAAAAAAAGAGACCAGTTAAAATACAGTTTTTTATAATTCTTTTACTAACTGCACGTTGCCAGCGATTCAACACAAATGCTGACGAAATGATAAAGATGTCTTCAAAAAACGAGTAAAATATAGCAATCCAGCCCAAACCAATCTGGCCAGACTGGACTATAACCTCTAGGCTCCCTCCCAACTCTGATATTCTGAAATTCTATTTGACTTGGTCAGATCAAATAAGGTTCATACTGATCTAAATAATTTTTAATACGTGTAACCTCACCAATACAAATGTTTAGCAGTACTAAGCACCAACAAAATTAACTAATTCAAAATACTAAATTTAGTTAATGTGTGGTAGAGAATTACGGTAAATTTTATAATCTACAAATTAACCCATAGGGCTCAATTCATCACTAAAACAAACATGTTTTGTTTCATTCAACAAATGTTTTTGAAAATACACGCATAAAACAAATTTTGGCAAACTCTATAAACTATGATGTCACTTACTTGCTGTCTTTACTACCCATGTAGCCTTACTTCATTTAACATATTTTTACTTAAAAAAATAAATAAAAGGAGTGTATCATGTAATATAAAACCTGAAAATGTACTGAATGCTAATCATTCTCCATTCAGCAACCTCACCCTACCATATCTCTCCTAATTCTGTACTATCTATCCTTCCCCCCAACCCCTGTTCCTCCCTTAACAACCCATGGCCTCCACTGACAGAGCCTTCTAATTCTGTGAAGGGAGACATTAAAGAACTCTGATAGTCCTTTCCTTGAACCAAAGATAAAATGATTAATAAAATGAAAATGTGCATAACAGATGTAAAAAAAAACCTTTTTTTTTTGTTTAAACAATTTTACTAAGCATCTGGAGGAAAGGAATAGAAACAAGATAGTTTGAGATTAAGCCTATATTTAGAATGACTTAATATAAACAAATCTTTCAGTCGCTTTCCAATCTATTACTCCACCCTTTTCTCATAAAGCACACTCACAGTGGCATCAAATATTCAATCTGCCTCTGTGTGGCCTTGGGCCACGTCACCTGACCTCACTGTGCCTCAGTTTTATCATCTGTAAAAGGAAGAGACCGGACTGGATGACCAAAAATGTCCTTTCCAAACCTAAAGCTATGACCTAAGCGCTCTTCCAGCTCTAAACATTTGTGATGCTGTGTGGATGTAATGCTGAAAGAAGAAATTTTGAGAACTATATTTCAATTAATTCTACTACTCTCAACTGTATAAATTCTAAGAAGTCACTTTCTCTATAGTAAACGAGGATGAAAATCAACCATCTGCTCCCAAATTTTTTACTTATCCTATTTTGAAGTCAAAAGGGCCAAAAAAAAAGAGTAATATAATAAAGTAGAAACAGCGCTGGATTTGGAGACCAAGGACATGATACAAAGCCCAATTCTTCTACATTATTCTGTGCATGCCATTTTGGCAAGTCACCAACCTCTCTGAGCCTAAACTGTCTTGCGTTGAAAATGAGGAATTTGGACAAGAATATCTCTAACATCCCTTGCAACTCTTAAGTCAATGAAACTATGAATTTCTGTAAGTAAATACTAAACATATTACAATTTCTGATTTCTTTTCAGTCGACTACAGATCCTTAATTTTAAGCAAACTTTGAATATGTCAAGCTTCAAAACTACTTTTTAAAAATAGGAATCTTGTAGTAAATCTCTTGTAAATGGCAGAAATCTTTTATAATATGAATCATTTGATATGTCTTATAAATTAGGACTTTTGTGTATAGATTTTTTTTCCATTATAAAACTATCAACCTTTGCATTAAACTATGGTTCCCCTCTTTCTAAAAAGTAACAAAAAGAAATATTTAGATAACTCTAAATATCTACTCAGACCTTTTATATGAAGATCTACTCACTTACCCTTGGTATTCTCACCAAGTATTAAGTAACCCATTACAAAGAGGGCATTTAAAACTAAAGCTCTTATGTGATAAATTCAATAAAAGAATGTGACTTTATGTATATGTACGTGTATACACACACACACACACACATATATATTTAACTATATCCATTACATACACACAGGCACACACACACACATAATGGACATGGGGCAGTGTGAAGTCAAGATCTAGAACAAACAAGGGATGGGGCAAGTAATTTAATCTCTCAGTACCCTAAGGAAATTTCAAAGATCTTTACTGGTGAAGGGGATATCCATACCTCAAGATCCCTGGCCTGAGGAGTTCCAAGCTCCAGGCCTTTCCCTTTGCTCTCTATCCCCAATTCCAAAGTATAATTAATTAGCTCAATGGACTGGAAAAGGCACCAAAGGTTGGTCTGAAGTCCCAACTCTCTCACTTGGCCTTCAGAGACTCCACTTCCTTATCCTACTTGGAGTTTCCTACACATTCCACTGGGGAGTTTGATAAGCCCAGAGCTAGAATGATCTTATCTCCCTCCTCAACTCTTAAGAACTGTTAGCACCTCCTCCTTCCTGATTCCCCAAGCAGTTAGTACAACTCCTTCCAAAAATCTGTTAGTCATTCTGCATTTATTTTATGTTTATTTGTGAATATGTTGTATCTCCTCATTAAAATGTAAGCTTCTTGAGGGAAGGATCTTTGTAGTTTATTTCTAGCCTCAGCACTTAGCAGTGCCAGGGAAAAAAGGCTCTTTAAAAAACTCTTATTGATTTATTTGCTAGAAGAGATAGCATTTATACCACAACCTACCTAAAGAGTTGTCAGAATCAAAAGAAATATTGCATGAAAATTTACTTCATGATCATAAAGCACTATATAAACGTCAGCAATGATAATTATGATCCAGTATCTTCTTTACATCACTGAACTGAAGATCTATAAAATTTAAATTACTATAAATGACTGCTGGTAGTTTCCCCCAACTAGTAGTTTTTTCTCCCCTTAGTAGTTCCCCTTTGTGTGTATCTTCGATGCCTTAACCGTACTGGCATGCTGCACCTAAGTCTCCTCTGGCAGGACACTCCTGTGGCTTTCAACATGAGAAAAGCAGAATGCCCTAATGTGCACTCTGACTGACCACCTTTCTTCCCATGAAGGAAAATTTTCTGCCCAAAGCTTCAATTCCTTTAAAAGACAGTATTCATCTCTGCCTATCTCAGAAAGAAGAAGGATGGATTCGTTGCCTTCCAATGTCCAGGGCAACAGAAAGCTATCCTGCCCTCTTTCCCTAAGGGAAAAGTATACTATTTATTTCCTAAAAGGTTGCATAATGCCTGATGGCCACTAACAGACCTTTGTACTTAACATTTGTGCCCCCTACTTCATACTCCTGACATTTTCATATATTTTTATTGCTTAACAAGGCTTTATGTCTGTGTGCATCAATTATCTTTTCACTTGGCAAATGTTTACCTATGCCTTTTCCTCATTTACTTGCATTCCACACCTGGATTTATGAAGCAAAGAAAGAAAAATCACTGGATTCTAAAGTGTAGTACCATTTCCTTAAATCCCTAAATCTACTACTCTCTATTCTTGAAGCTGGAAGAATAAACCAAAATCAAGCAAAGCTGCAGTAGTGATGCTCACATCTGATATTTAAAATTAGAAGAAATACAGGCAAAGATGCCTGACCTCGTTATTTGCTTGAAGAAAAACAATGTCGTCTATTCTCAACTTAAATAAGGTTGTGTATAAGCAGAGAGAAGGAAAAGTGTCCAGAATAGCAAGTGAGTGACAAGAAGATTTAAATTCAATAAATGTTTATTAATCATCTACTATATGGCAGAAACCATGCTAGATGTTAGGGATACAAAAGTCTTTTACCTCAAGGTGTTTACATTTTACTAGGGCAACAGAGATAACACTCACAAGGGTAAATAAATACAAGGTAATTTAAGCGAGTGAGAACATCAACAACCTTGTCTTCCTGGCAATGGAGTCCCTAGAACTGAAACTGGAAGGAAGATTTAAAACCCTAAAAGCCTGGGGCTGTGTGGAAGCAGGAAGTGTAGCTCTGAGTACTAGGCACAGCACACGTCAGCAGCAACGTATTGTGTGTGATAGGAAGTAATACAATGTTAAGGCTGGAAAGGCTGGTGGGGCAGGGCAGAGGAGAAGAGAGATGAGCTCAGAAGGCCTAGCAATCTCAATGACTCCAGTGTTATGGAAGACAAAAAGGTGGAAGATGGCCAAAATTAGTAACAGTTTTGAAAAGTTGTTGGATGAAAGGGAAAAAAAAGTTGTAGCTAAAATGTTTTCTAAATTAGAAATAAATACTTAAGGTGAAAATTAAGGTTAATAAAATTTTAACAATATAACTCATTGTAACCTCAACTTATTTTTCTGGTAACCTGTATATTTATACCAAAGAGAACTCTAAAACCTCAATTAACCAGAATATACAAACAAGGATGTTTTGTTTCTCTATTATCTAATTATCTAAACTTCTCTAATTATCTAAAAATTAACCAGAAATATCTTTATTTCAAATGTTATAATAGAAAACTTTCTAAAATCCATCAGTATATAAGCAATTCTGTACTTATGTATTCCTGATTTACCAATCTCTCTTACAAACCAACAGTAGACAAACAGTAGACACAAACTCTCCTCTTCTGCCCTACTACTGCTGACACTGAACAGATCCCTCTTCCCTTCTAGAAATCAAATTCTCTTAATACCAACCCCAAAGAGGCAGGTGGTATAGTTGGTAAAAAGCTAGCAATAAAGTCAAAAGACCTGGGGATTAAAGTCCCATCTCAGATACATTGATTGCATGATTTCCCCCAATGTCATTTAACCTCTTAGTGGTCTAGCAACTAAGACAATGAGTTACAGAGCAGGTGCAATTAGTAGATTAAGTTTCTTTCACCTTAGAGGGAGTTCTCTAAACCAGTAAAACTCTAGATCTACACTATCCACCCAAACACCTACCTCCCCCCATCACTACGCAGGACCCCCCCACCCATGGTTTCTCATAACTTTCACCTCTGCCTCAAAGACAGTGA